TGCACTGCGGGGATAAAGTATGAAAGGTACATTTTGTATTGCGGTTTGCGGGTTCACAAGTGCTATTTCAAATTCTCGTTAGCGCCAAACGGCCGGGGAATTGAAACCAATGCACGTACCCTGAATCTATTGCATGCATATTACAACGCTTGCAGACTTTATTCGAACATGATACGTACTTAAGATACAAGAGATTGTTTTTTAAAAAATATGTTTATATTCAGCACAATATTTTTAGCATTAAAATGTCTAGGTATTTTGTTTAAAGTTAGAACTGACATAAAAGTTTTGAATTTTACAATATTAATACGAACCTAAAAGCTTTGTCGATAAAAGCTCAGTACTGCTACGTAAATTCATAACGTGAATAGGTAATTACATCCGCTCCAAACATTTCGAAAGCTATTCTGCCTTTTATTGTATCCTAAATTGCAATATTGTATGAAGTGGAGCTTGAAATTGTCATAATGGATTAAATATGCAATAGTCAATTGTGTTAGTACTCTAGTATTAAGTATTTAAAATTGAAGTAGCGAATAGTGCGAATTATTGCCTATAAATTGTATTACAAAATGTTAGGTTGAATTTTATAATGACGCCTGACAATATTTTATTAGCCAAAATGCGTATATAAAAATTGCAATAGGAATATTAAAGTAGTCAGTCTTTTGAATTACTCTTTGGATAGGTTAAGTTAAAAATGTATATTTCATACCATCATTACCGGAAAAAACATTACAAAATTTCTGTAAGTTAACGAATACATAACTTACCAATTAATTATGATCATAGTAATAGAAGTGGTTAGTCGCATCTCGTGTTGGATGGGAATAAAATGTGTGTAAAAGTATGTTTTGAGAACCTTATTAAAAATTATTTTAAAAACTTCAAGTACAGTCTGAGTTCATTCAGGAGCGCGAACGAGGTGCTTTTAGTTCTTTTCATTTATAGAATTTCTATAACACTTTTTTATATAAATCATATAAGGGTGAAAATCAACACGAGTCAACATCTTTGAAATGGGATTAACAAATTTAATATCTTTTTGAGTAACTCATCACAAATTTTTGCTTCAAATTACTGTATGTTTTTGTCTAACTAATATAAAGAAATTAAGTGATAGCTGAATAAATTAGAGTTATCACTTAAATAAGGATAATATCTTTGTTTATAATACTTTACAAAAAATACTACCACGAACACAGGCAGTCATTTCTCTGAAAGCAACACAGACGTTGAAAGGTGAACCAACAATAAGCATTTCATACCTCGATGCTTTTTTGTTCTCGAAAATGAGAATATACGGTGACGTCACAAAACAGCAAGTTTGTAAAGGTATGTCGTGTTCATAGTATTTGTAATTTGAAGGTTTTATACACAGATGCAAAAACTGTGTGACATTTAAAATATATTTGGTTATGTAACTATTACTAATTTGTATTGTTAATGTCTTTTAATACCTAATGTGGAGTAGATAAACCGTGGAAATGCATGAAACATCATTAAAACGTGGAAAAAGTAAACAAAGCGCCTGTCAGCTTTTCATTTCGTCGCCGACCTGACCCAGGTAAACATGACATATTGCCAGGCGCTATTTTACTTTTGTGTCTCTTTTAGTTTGCATAGAGCGTAGTTCAGAGCTTTATAGTGCAATTAAATATTTACCCATGTTTAAAAATGTATATAATTGAATAGAAATTTGTTTTATTAAAGTACTAGCTGATCCATTGCGGCTTCATCCGCATGAAATTATTAAAAAAAATGTTTACATTTGTGAAATGTCAAAATTCAAATGCATAAATGAAAAGTTGCTTTCTTGATGTTGGTAGCTCGTAGCTTATGGTATCTTTCCCACATTAGGGTTTTATCAAATTTATTTTTATAAATTTAAGAGCGTGAAAATATATAACCTAAAGCGTGACGTAAGTGTAGGGCTTTTTATTAAAAAAAAGGATTATTTAAAAATATGCTGTAATTGCTGACATCTTACGCCACAAAGAAGTGTGTGTTTACGCTTCATAATATAAGTATAGATGTGCAATGGAAAGCTACAAAAACAATTAGATGATATAAAAGCGACGTCTATTGTGCCAGTCAAAGTTTAAATAAATTGAAAAATTAATTAAAGATGAAAAATTGGGAAAATGTCTTCAGAGATTTTTCAAACAAAGGGATGTAAGAGTACAAAAGAAGGGAAGAATTATATTCAATTTTGTCCGCTTCTTGAACAAAGAATTAAATTATTGACAAAGGATTAATTCAATTGTTTTGTAGTCATCCTCTTAATTATTTTTATACAATACTAGCTTTCGCTCGCGACTCTGTCCGCGTGGAATTACAAAAAAACAAAAATAAGTAACCTACATATGCGTTATTCCAGCCTGTCCTCTACATCTGTGTCAAATTTGTCGAGATCCGTTCAGCAGTTTAGGCTACAAACTCTAACATCCATCCATCTAAACTTTCGCATTTATAATATTAGTAAGATTTTGAATATTTAATTTAACACTTCCATTGCTAGTAAGATCACGTAATAACTCGAAGAGCTAATCGATGGCTCTACATATGGTAAAACTGGAAATAGATAAATTACGATTTGCAGAGTTTTGTACAAATTGAAAAAAAAAATTGAGCTTGTAAACCCCAAATTATATACAGCACGGCGCTTTTTTCACTGAGTAGGACTTGACCCACTGCCAACACTCTTATGATTATAAAAACGTAGAGGTATGTGACATGTTTTTATTCACATTTAATTTAGTTTACACCAAAGTCAAACTACAAATTTGTTTTCAGTATGCGTTACAACTAATCTTAGTAATAAAATAAATTCGAAAGTTTAGATGGATGTTTGTTACAGTTTGTAGCCTAAACTGGTGAACGGATTGAGATGAAATTTGGCATAGATGTAGAGGATAGTCTGGAAGAACATATAGGGTGAGTTGTTTCTTTTTAACACTACAAAGAGGAAGTCAACTTGACATGAATATCCGCGACATATCCTTTCATAAATCGGGTCATAATCAACTATATTTTAATAACATTATTATCTCATTTCTTTCAGAAACAATAGAAGGAATGAGGATATGTTTCTGTCGATGTATTAACAGTGGAAACGCTGTTGTTTGTAAAATCAATACTACGCTATTGTTCAGTGACAAGTTTCCCTTTGCAAAGCAGTCAAATGATTTGAATCGGAAGCTCTCATTAGTTCATCATTAACTGTCGTTAGCACAATCAGAGTAATTAGCTTTGAGGCGTGCGTTTAAATGCACAATCGATCAAAATAATTCATCAACATTAAATACAAATGTGTGGGTTGTAATAATTAATAGGCATTTACTAAGCTAGCGCACCTTTTAACATCTTAACTTACACTTAACATCAGATTCAAGTTCAAAAAGTATGAATATAGAAAGAAATTAAGAGCGTGCCCGCACATGAAACTTAACTATCGTACACTTTAACCGTAGTGCCCGCTTTAACATTTTAGCACGAATAGGCCGGCACGCCCGGTGTTACTACGACCACACAGAAGACAGGCGTGAAATGGAAGCAATTCCGTTTTTCTGATGAGTGTGGTCCCGGAGTCCTAATTTAAGTCCCTTTCTCTTTACCACTCTTTTCTTGTAAGGAAAGGATGGGAAGTGGATTTGACGGCGGAGGAGATGCATAGGAAGGGGAAATATCCTCTTTATGTGCATTTCCTCCTCCGTCGTATAAGGGTAGGCAACGCATCTGCAACTGCGGATGTCTATGGGCAGCGGTCTCTTCGCCATTTTGGCGGAGTCAGGTGGCCGCTTGCTCGTTTGCCTTGTAATCTACAGGTCTTGGTTTGGAATCCCGCCATGTACCAATGTGATTCTGAATTTTTCGAATTTCATATGTACATAATTATCCCGACGTTCTTACTGTGGAGAAAAACATCGTGATGCAACCTGCACATGTCAGGGAAGAAATTTAAAGATATGTGTAAAGGCAACCAATCCACACTTGGCCAGCGGTTGACTAAGGCCTAGTCACCCATTATTAGTGTAGGCTTCGTGCCCCTCAGTGGGGATGTTGATGATGAAACCTGAAAAAAATGAAATTTTAGAGCGATTTAGAAAAAAAAAATATTAAAATAATAAAAATTCCTTAAGAAGTTGTATCTTTTGTATTAAGATTCATTAATAATTCCAGTATTGTTGTCAGTTGTCAGTATAGTGTAGCAGAAAGGTCCTTGTTTACTGAAGCCTAGATAGATCGATTGATTTTATTGCCCCATTAGTTTCTGTCGTGAACAGAATTAAGCTGTTTTGTTTCCCAGTTACACAATTAACTGTAATTAAGAGACGCGAAAGAATTAAACAAATAACAATTCGTAATTTAAAAGTAGGTTAACAAAAAGTTATGTATTACGGAATTTAAAAACTTTGTATAAAATAATCGCACTTCATAACCTTCAGAACAAAATGTCACATAACATAGAAGTACAAAAAACAACGTTATTAAAAAATCACTATTTGCAAACTTGCTTCATATTAATAATTTTTTAATAGAGCAAACGATTTTAACCCCAGTGTTTAGTAAAGATAATAAAATATGTACTCGTAAACTATGTTTACTTATAATAAAGAGTAACATACGTATCGGTAAATACCGCAGGGTTTTCCTCGGACAATATATAACCATATCTATCTATGTATTAATATCTATATAAATGTATAAACAATTTGTCTGTGTGTTACATAAATAATTCCGAAGATAAAAATATTAATAGTAAATTAAAAAATAAGTAAATATGACAAAGTATATTTTCACAATTGTGTTTACTTTTAGAGCGGACTATAAAACATAACTATTACTAGAGAATGAATTATTTTGTTATCTGTCTAACTAATATAATTACAGAAAGTAATTAAATTTAGTAGACATATCCGCGTTCATCAGTTAGCTTACATATTGTAAACGTTATAAAGTTTTATCAATGTCGATGTCCGAACCAAATGTGTGAAGATGGCACGTAAGTAGTCAAATACATTGCCATTATCTCTGCAGAGCTTGTGAGAACAGGACGTGTTATGTGTGGACCGTAGGAGTAGACACCACTATTTGTCTGCCAAAACCATCACAAGGTATTGTTTCATAAATCTTACTAATATTATAAATGCGAAAGTTTAGATGGATGGATGGATGGATGGATGGATAGATGGATGGATGGATGTTTGTTAGAGTTTGTAGCCTAAACGGCTGAACGGATTTCGATGAAATTTGGTATAGATGTGGAGGATAGTTTGGAAGAACACATAGGCTACTCACTTTTGATTTTTTTTAATTCCACGCGGACGGAGTCGCGGGCGAAACCTAGTTTTTTATATAAACTTTTGGTATGTTAATATTGATTTCGTTTGCATGTCTGGTGAAACTAAAAAAGATTACAAGTGGATCATATAACTACAAGTTTAAATCAACAAGGAGGTTATCAATTCGTCTGTATTTTTTGCATTTCATTAATATTCAAGAATGGATTACCAATAAAAATAATAACACTACAAAGAATAACAATATTTATTTACATTTTACTACAATTTTAATAGTATTGATACCTTTTTAATATTAAATCTCGAAATTATAATTTTGAGATATTAAAAATAAGCAGAAAAACCTTAATCTAAACAACCGTAGAAACAGAAATTGTTATCTCAATTTATTAAGAAAAAACGATTACGTATTAGAGTTTCAGAACTAGAAATCTACGGTAAATTTTACTTAAAAACGAGCAAATAATTCATCAATTTTAACATTCTAAATTTTTATTTCAGAACTTAAAATGAAGGGAGAAGTATGGCTAGCTGTATGGTCGATGCTATTCTTTATTGTGGATGCTGAAATAAAATGCGAATTCGAACCAGATGGACAGATGTTTCACATGTGTAATGCAACAGATGACAGCGATAATATTTTACAAAGGGGACTAGTATCTGACAAAAGAAAAACGTTTCATATAATTCTCAACCAATGCAATATCGTAAGCATAGAGCTTGAAGCATTTTACAGACTGCCAGCATTAGCTATATTAGATTTAGCAGAAAATAAAATTGAAAGTCTGCCTTTAGGAGTATTTGATAGACTGCCATCATTATCTCGTTTAAATTTATCTTACAATCTTCTGACAGAATTACCTCTAGGTATATTCAATCATAATAGAGATTTATCAGTACTAGATTTAGAAGGAAATAGCTTACATAACCTTAAACCAGGTTTAATTGATCCTTTATGGAGATTGTATCAATTAGATTTGAGTCACAATTTTTTCAAGGGAAACGAAATAGTACCAGCGTTATTTGATAAAAAACGTGATATTTCAATATTAACTTTATCCGGGAACGATATGACTGAGGCTAATTTCTTATCAATCATGAACAATTTAAATTATCTATATATGGATGGTTGTAAATTAAAAGTAGTACCTAAACTTGCAACGGATTTAAATATGAAAAATTTAAGGCACTTAAGTCTAGCTTCTAATGAAATAACATCTGTTGACGATGCTAAAACTTTTAGCAAATTAAAAGATGTAATGAAATTAAATTTATCAAGAAACCAAATAGTGTTTATTCATAAAGATGTCTTCAAAAATCTAAGATATCTAGAAGAGATCGATTTAAGATACAATAAATTGACTACACTGCCTATAGACATGTTCCAAAATATACCCAAGTTATACGAATTGCGGTTATCATATAATTTATTGACTGACATCCCACTCAATGCGTTTGCTGGCACTGAATTGAAAAGACTTAGTTTTGATAACAATAATATAACTCATTTGCATAAAAATTTCCTTTTAAAAATAGAAGATGCTGGATTAATGCTTAGGATAATGCATTTCGGGAATAATCCATGGCAATGCGCTTGTCTCAGAGAACTGCTACGCGAGGCGAAGGAAATGGAAGTACTCTACGATACTGATAAATATGACGGTGGACATCCAGTTTGTGTGTCAGGTAAAGATTTCTATTGCAGAAGAGACGAAGCTGCACATGATGAATTTATACGAATGTACAATGAAAATATACGATGATGTAAATTACAATTTTTTTAATTACTGTCATCGTAAAGGATTAACACACACAAAAGAATGAGGAGAATGCAGAAATTGAAATTTTCAAGGCTGATTTTGTTAGTAAGCAAAAAGTGTAAAAAAAAGTATTGATACTTTCAATTAAAATAATACAACTTTACAGTTTTTTATTTAGAATATAAGTAAACTTTACTGAAGCAGAGTTAATTAAGAAGTGAAGATTTGCTTTCTAACAAAACATCATTTTAAATTCCTAAACACGACAACAATACTAGCTACTACTACTAGAGTTAAGGAGTTTTACAGTTTGCTTTTTATAGAATACCTCTTACCTTGTACAGTCGCATTGTGGGACACTCTGTCCTCAGCGGTATTTCCAAACAGTTACGACTTAGGTGCCTTCAAGAAAAGAGCGTACTCCTCCCTGAATGGCCGGCAGCGTATCCGCAGTACCCTTGGCATTGCGGATGTTCACGGGCGTCGGATAACTTAATATCAAGCGATCCGTTGCCCGTTTTCCCGCTTTTCCTATAAAAAAACCTAATCTATAGTCTGATAAAGAGACAAATAAGAGAGAACAGAAGAGATCCAAAGAACTCCTTGATTCGATCAAGGAGCAAAGGCAGGTGAAACTAAGAAGAGACACTTGCCAAGAGTAGTGAAAATGGTTGACTGATTAGACGAAATACTTACACTAGCGTAAAGTACTTGACCATTATACTGTAGTAAATTATTTTAGAGTACTTAGTAGCATAGATTTAACTTATTGATTTTAATATGTTTGACTGTAATCGTAGGATTTATTTTTATAAACGGAAAGGTCAATAAGACTAAGTAATTAACACAAAGGAATATTTTGGAGGCTTAAGAGGGAAAGTAATTTACTCCAAACGATCCGAAAGAGATTTACAAGTTTTATTCTATTGTTAAAATTAGATTTACGCTGGTTTAAGGAAACTTGATAACGTTTTAGCGCCGTACATAAGGCAACGTCAGTCTTTGAAACCAATATTATATACTGGCATCGCGAGTATCCCAATGTGATATTTCGTTTATCAAATTTCATATTTACATCATTTACCCGACGTTCTTACGATGAAGAAAAACAACGTGATGCAACCTGCACATATCGGCGAAGAAATTCAAAATTGTGTGTTAAGTCGACCAACCCGCAGTGGGCCAGCGTGGTTGTCTAAGGCTAGTCACCCCTTATTTAGGGTAGGCTCCGAGTCCCTTAGTGAAGCTGGTGATGAGTATCCCATTGCTCGTACATCGACAAATCTCATACAATTTTTTTCGACAACGATACGTAACTTTTTACGCAAGTTTTCGAGGTAGCCCTCTTTGCTAGTTTATCTTTTAAATATGGAATGTAAATATTTTCATTTAACTTCGTTAATAACAATTGTTTACCGATAACGATTGATGATTAATAGTTATAAAATATGGTATATTAATTTAATATAGCTAGTGGAGTGTTTAAAATTAACTCAAAATCTCGTTTACTTTTTCGTAGATTTTCCTTAATAACTACTGTCTACCAGTGAATACTTTTCTCCTAACTGATTGCGCAATTTGCGTTTAATCCCGCCTTATCTCAGTGGAAATGGTTTAATGCTCAAAGAATGACAAATGACTGAATTATATTTGATTGCGTCTACAGATTTTTAATCCAACCTATTTAAAATAAATCATTTGTTATGTGAGTATTATCAGGTTAGTATTGGTGATATGTTTTTGTTTTAAGTATTTTTTTATTACATAAGTTGGCAAACGAGCAAGTGGCCACTAAAATCCGCCAAAATGACGAAGCCACCGCTGCCCATAGACATCTGCAATTGCAGATGCGTTGCCTACTCTTATCCGACAGAGGAAGAGGCGCACATAAAGAAGATATTTTGCCTTCCTATGCATCTCCTCCGTCAAATCCACTTCCCCTTCCCATCCTTTCCTTATAAGACAAGGGTGGTAAAGAGAAAGGAACTAAATTAGGCCTCCGGCACCACACTTATCAGACGAAACACGGAAATGCTTCCATTTCACGCCTGTCTTCTGTGTGGTCGTGGTGTTACAACGAGCGTGCCGGCCCAAAAGTGCTAAGATGTTAAAGCGGGCACTACCACTGTTAAAAAACTGTAGTTGCTAAAAGAAAGTATTTAATTTGTCAGTTTTTGCTCCTTACATAGTACAAAATAATTTAAGAAATCAAGACTGTTTTTTGGTGTTTAAAAAAGATAAAGATTTAACATACAATTGACCTTTACGTTACGCTTATCTGCAAACAGATTTCGACAGAGCAAAGCAATTAACATAAAATAATATTAGTTTTAGCGAAATATAAATTATAACAAAGTTGGATTGAGTACACAGTTAATTGAACATTTTTGTTTTGTATACAATTATACAGTTAAAAAATATAAAAGCATTTCGTTTTTATATTTTGATTATTATCAATTGGAATGTCAGGTAAATAAGTCGACGATGCCTCATGAAATCAAACGGGCATTTTACGACAACTCATTTATCATAGAGTCATGACTAATTGTAAAAAAGTTATGAATAAAAACATGTTTTTATTCATAAATTTTTTACAATGTCGATATACTACTCAAAAACGCAATATATTGTAAAGTTTTCAAATCAGTAACTAGTTATATTTGTATAAAAAAAAACAAGTAATTCGATCTCCTGATGCGTAAAATTATATTACCTTTATCCTTTATATTTATGATTGCTGGTGACTTTGTCTAGGTAAAATTAAAAAATATAGCCTGTGTTACTCACAGACAAATTACCTTTCGAATAGTGAAAGAATTTTTTAAATCGACAGAGTAGTTTTTGCGTGAGCCAATTATAAACAAGAATCCAAAAACACAAATCTTAGCTCTTTATAATATTAGTATAGATATACATAAATACTGGGTTTCATTCCAATTTGTTACCGTCACCAACAGTTTCTGTCCCGTTTGCTAAACTATTCACAGAGTTTGTGACTGGATTTTAGTTTTCAGTGTGCCGGTGTAAAGTTGTGTTAATTAACCGAAATTTCTGTAACAACCTTGTTGATCAAGTTTCAATGTACGTAGCATGTTAGGAGTTATTTGAAATGCAACCATAGTATGTTAACATTTAATATCGTACTCAAGATATAGGTGAGAATGACTCTTCAATAAAAAATAATCTTACTAATATTATAAATGCAAAAGTTTAGATGGATGTTTGTTAGAGTTTGTAGCCGATGCGTCTAAACGGATTTCGACGAAATTTGACATAGATACGAGTAGTAGATTTGTTTTTAATTTAATTCCACTCAGACGGCGTCGCGGACGAAAGCTAGCATTGAAAAATGCTTTAGAAGCTTTTAAAGGTTTGATATTCAATTAAAAATTGTACTAAAAGGATCGTAAAAGCTTCACTAATTCCATTATTTTTTTAGCTGCTAAAAGAGTATCGATATAAAATAGAATGAAGTGTTGTTTATAGAATTAAGAGCACGATACGTGCAGTTAACGTATACTTTTGTTGCTTCAATTTATTTTACTAGCTGTCGCTTGCGACTTCGTCCTCGTGATTTTGAAAAAAATAATAATTGAAAAATACATCCTATATTACTCACTGATAACATAGATTTTAATCGTGCAAGAATTTTTTGAAATTAGCCTAGTAGTCTTTGAGTTATTTCAGTTTATACAAAAATCCAAAAATACAAATCTTTCTTCTTTATAATTATAGATAGATAGATGTTTAATTTATTCTGAAGAAGCTATTTACAAAAATATTAACTGAAAACGGAATACTCCAGTTTATTAATTTTTGCTGTATACAGCAAAAATAAATGAAAGTTCCAAAAAATCTTGTTTCTCAGAACAGAATTGTGATTGAAAGCTTCGGAACTGCATCGCTTGGTCAAAATTCAATTTCATTTTGACTAAGAGCTTGCGGTTGGGGGTTGATGCGAATTGGCAATTTGCCAAAGTGAAACTTTTCTGCTTATCCTTGTAACTGAAGTTATTATTATGATTCTATTATATTAATAAAGTGTAAGTTAAGAAATGTTAATACTAAAATGTATCTTATAATATTGACGTGTTGATAATGAAATTACAAAATTATGTAACACTTAAATCTAACTTTTTAATAGTAAAGATACATAAAAATATATATATATTAACTATGTGTTTTTTACATTTGAATTTTATTTCCCTAAGCGTGCGTTCGCAAGGGCAGACTTTGTACGCCGCGGTAAAGTTCAAGGTCAGCAGACTTTTTACGCCCACGAGATAGGTGTTCGTACGAGCGTAAAAAAATCACT